CAAAAAAAGAGTTCTTCAAGAAGTCAGATTTAAGAGCCCTTTCTGACTCCAGAAAAAAATAGTTTATAGAGGAGACATTTTCAGTTTTAATTGTATTGTAATTAATATTGAAAAAGAGCTTAAATTGAAGACAATCAAGTACATTAAAATATATTTTCTTCGAAATAAAAAAAAAAAAAATGGGGTCGCTCGCAGCTTAGAATACGAATTTACTAGCGGTCACCCATTCAAGTATTTATCATGACTAATGCGTCTTAACTTCAGTGATGTGGTGTCCTTTGGTCTGCCTTGGCTAGCTGCTCCTAATGAGATAGTAATTTTTTTTTCTCTACATAAGCTCTTATGTTCAGATAAGATTATAAACGACTTATAGCAATGATAAAAAACTTGATATTAACTTTTCTACCCAAAAATAAAAAAAAATACTTTTCGATTTAATTTTTAATAAGTAGAATCACTGAACGTTTTGCTATTTACGATAATATTTTTATAATACAAAAATAAATACACAGCGAAATGAGTTCACTCGAATGCGATTATTTTTATTTTTTTATCATTTTAAAAATTCTTTAATAACGTGAAAAAAATTTTTCTAAGTCCCATATTTTGACGAAGTACAAAATCAGAAAAAAAAACCTATTCAAGAGCTCCTATTCTTGATGTCTTACGAAGTCAGAAAAAAAGAACTCTTAAAGAGCTCATATTTCGATGTCTTGGAAAGTCCAAAAAAAGACCTCTTAAACAGCTCATTTTTTTGACCTCTTACGAAGTCGGAAAAACGACTTCTCAAAGAGCTCATATCTGTGATGTCTTATAGAACTTAAAAAAAAACTTCTTAAAGACTTCTTAATTAAGACTTCCGAAAAATGAGGTCTTTAAGACGTCATATTTGGAGTTCTCAAGGAAGTCTTTGAAAAGACATCTTTAAGAAATCCTTCTGACTTGGATGTTGTCTGGGACGGTATGGTAGAGTCTCTGGAAAAGAGTCCCTTTACGGATACCACCCAGCGCTCAGAAGTTGAACTTCTGGAGCGAGTATAACAAAAAATATTTATTAATACAGAGAATAGCAAAAATACAAAAATTTATATGCTTGAAACAAGTAAAATAATATCTTAATTCAAGAGTCGCGCCATACTTGGAACAAGTCGGTAACATCTTAAACCAATGTTACCTTCTATCTCAATCCAAGAGAAAGAAATTCTTGGGCGAAGTTATATATATCTTATTTTAAAACAACCAAGTTTCTTGATTCAAGAACCAATTTCTTAATTTAAGAGAATTGAAATACTTAAAACAAGAATGACATTTTAAAGAAAAAATTTTTCTTGAATCAAGACATTTTTTCTATCAGTATATATTTTTAAGAGAGCATTTTTCGCTAAATCAAATTTTTCTTAGAAACTAATTCTACGAATATGGCTGGAGAACAAAAAATGGAAAAAATCAGGGAAGCATTTTTCTCCTGATGCTATGACATTAAAAACGGCCATTGGGCAGCCAGAATCCTTTAGTAAAAAGTTGATGTGACATTTTCATGGTTGTCGCTTTTCGTTGCCATGGTAATCGTTGCTATGGTAATCGTCGCCATAGTAACCGTTGCTATGGTAACTGTTGCCATAGTAACCGTTGCTATGGTAATGGTTGCTATGGTGAATTTTTTCCATGAAAATAATCATAACAATCATAACTTTTATTAAAAAGTTGATGTGACGTTTTCATTATTGTCGCTTTTCGTTGCTATGGTGACCTTTTTTGGCAATGGTTATCATAGCAACGGTTACCATGGCAACGGTTAAATATTAATGAGTAAAATTTGTAAAAATATTGATTAATTAAATTGTCAATAATAAATATTTTGACAGAAGCGCGCAAAGCACGTTCGATTTTCTAGTAGAAATAAATTTTTTAAAGTTACAAAAAATTTACAGGTTTTATGTGTACTTCTTCGAATTTTTAGATTTTAAAAGTAACATTATCATTTTATAAGTTTATGTAAGCAAAAATCATACATATTCGTTCGTACTTAATTGCTTTCAAATTTTGACATAACGTTTGAATTGGATTATGGTAAGTTGTTATATAGGTGCGTAGTAAATTACGCCAACGAGGATGAAGAGTAGGATATCCCAATATGCGCGTTTGACACCCTGCCTTCAGCTCGAGAGGCAATTTCACACGTGGATTAGAATGTCCCATCAGACTAAACAACAGCGGAGCGTAGTCAAGTCAGCTATTTCTTAATAACAATAACTATTTACAAATAATCCGCGAAATAAAAATGTTATAGCAATTACCGACTAGCAATACCATGCCCTAGTAGAAATAATCAAGTTTTCACTCGATTCTAACCAATAACTGGCAAGTCTAGCCGAACTGGCCAGTTATTAGCCAAAAACTCGATTTTATTTCTACTAGGGCCATGATGGCATTACATAACAATGCCAAAAATTCAACTCAAAAAGAGTCATTTAAACTTGGAGGAAACCTGTGTCGATAAAAAGTTTTAATTTTGACTTATAATGACCTAATTTTCTTTGAAGTTATCAATTTTCAGACGACTTACCTCAAATCTTGACGTTTATTGACATTTTTAAGGGTTAATCTTGACTTCTACACGCTTCATAGCGCGAAGCGCGTGAGGTTGTGCTTTGTACCCAACTCGTTAAGATCAAGCAATTTTGTGATCTTCATGCTTGATTTATCTTACCTTTTTTCTACTTAAATTTAACGCGCCCGGGAAAAACGGATGAGATCTGGCCAGATCTTTAAGTTATTGTCTCTATCTGACGAGATCTGGCCAGATATAATCAGATCTGACCAGATATTTAGATTGCCCGGGTAAAAAAGATTATATATAATTATATATACTCATACATAATTAGATACGAACAATGGTCTTATGTATTTTTCAACCCAGATATAGTTATATACGTTTAGATCTGATCAGATATGACTAGATCTGATCATGTCTAATGTATTTATTAACTCACAAGATCTAAACCTTTTTTCCCGGGTGAGACGACAAAAAAAATAGCGAAAGGTTGATAGGATAAAATATGTGCAGGTCTATTAATCTCTTCAATAGTAGAACGAATAATTTGACCAAATTATTTAATCTTCCGCAATCTAAATCGGCAAAAATTGTCAAAAACTTCGAAAGCTGCAAAGCTTTGGCAGAAATGGTGTGATCCGGGGAAGTAATTGGTAAATTTCTTCCATGTCTCTGAAATTATAGAAAAATATCTAAATAGAGCAATTCGATCATCACGGAAAAAATTTTTTAAGAAATTATTGTATCCTTAGCAATTCAAATGCCCAAAATTCACAAAACTATGTTTAAATTAAATTTATTTGACTTAATTATGACTTTTTTTATCTCAAAAAAGTTTACTTTGAAAGAAACCCAAGTGATGCTGACTTGATTTTAACCTTTTCGTTTTCAATTTATCCTAACTGAGCCAAAAAAAGACAAATTAAGTCTAAATGTTTTAAACATTCAGTTCTAATACTAAAATGATCCATTTCAAAATTTTTATTTATTCGATTACATACATAAGTATTCATCTATAATTATTGATTATTCAACAATTTATTTATTAAATCGAAAAATAATTATTTTATAATTTTATACATAAATTTGTAGGCTAATTTATATTAAATTATAGATATTTTTTTATTGTAATTTAAATTATCGTATTCAGCTCATAAAACTTGCTTTCTTACAGATCAAACTATATTTAATGTTTAATATAAGTATTTAATAAATCTATTTTTATTATTTTATAGAAAATTATTTTACACTGAGAAAACAAAGTACTACTCTTGAGAAAATTTTCTTGTCACAAGAATATATATTCTTGATAATTTTCAAGAATATATTTTCTTGTCTCAAGAATTGATTGAATTATTTTTTGTTTAATTCAAGTGACTCTATTCGTTTGTTAATCTACAAAAATTAATGCTAATATTTTGTTATCATGATAGATATTGATATTCTTTTGTCAAAAAACCAAAATTTATTTTAAACGATTCTTGAGCCAAAAAATTTTTTTCTGAACGAAAAAAATTTTTTTTTCTTAGTGTAGAGAACGATGAAACTAAGAAACAAAAATTCGAAATAAAAAAATTAATTAATTTGATAAATATTAAAACAGATTATTCCGTAACTAGGACAGATTTCGGGAGCCAAACACGATATTAACACACGCATAAAAACAATTTTTTTGAAATAATAAAAGATGGAATAGCTGAAAAATATGTTGTGGTAACAAATAAGTGTAGTTATAACAACAAATCCATTAGTTGCATTAACAAAATATTTAAAGTTATGCTAACAAACTAGTTTGTTAAATCCCAAAATCAATTTGTTGCTCCAACAAAATCATTTTGTTGTTAAAATATTTTCCAAATCGCCTATAGCTTATTATAGCATATTTTTAAATGTATTCTTATAAAATTTTCTGTAGCAAATTTATCTGTTATTATTACAAATTCTCTTTATAACTTAAACAAATTTTCTTTGTTACTCCAACAAATTCTTTTTGCTATTTTAATAGAATAATTTTGATGTTTCAACAATAGTATATTACACACCTAGGGAAGTAAAGTAAGAAATGTCTCAGATCACATGTAATCACATGTCAACAAACATGTGATCTGAGGCTTTCTTATTTACTTCCCGTGGAGTGTATACTATTTTTTTGCTCGACGAAGGCAGAAAGGGGTAACTTCATTTAGCGCAGCGGGCCGAAAGTTGACACTTTCTGCCCGTCGAGCAAAAAAAGTATTTTGTCAAATCAACTTAATGATTTTGCTATAGTAACAAAACTATTTTGTTATTACATATCAATAACTTGTTATAACCTAAATTTTGTTATTTAAACATATAATTTGTTATCTCTATGTTAACAAATTCATTTGTTACCACAACACATCTTCGGTTATTTTAACAAAATTTTTTTCTGCGTGCACAATATAATATATTTCAAACCATGCTCTTAATAGTATTCCTGACTATCAATATCATTAGTATTAACATTAACATTTTTATTCTGATTTTTGTTTCTATAACCCTCATTAGCAAAGCTACGTGGTGCATCAAGAATAATATATGGAACATTCCTATCAGTAAACACCGGCGCAGATATCGGTTCCGGTCTCACATAATATCCAGCATTGTTAGAATCTACATTAGTATTATCATTCTGATTTCTACTCCTACGTTCAGTTCTCCGTGCATCAATATCTCTGTGATTTAACCCAAGCGGCTTGAAATTTTTCCGTGCAATAACTATAACCGCCGGGCCAACAGCACGTTCATCGTAATCATCAACATTGCTGTGTACATTAACATTAACATTTTTATAATCATCCAATATATGTCTGCGTGAAAGATAAGCTCTTTCATTAACATCAGTATCGACTTTAACATCATCATTCTTCGAGACTTGCTGATCATTGATCGATTGATCATTGTCCACAATCTCTAACAAAGAAACAGAATCTGTCAGCGGTTGTGGTTTTTCTAAATTGCTCTCCTGGTCAATTAACTCGCCAATCGGTTGAGGTTTTGACAATGACACGTCTTCGGACAAATGTTGAGAGATTGAATTGCTCTTGCCGTAGCTATTGATATTAACATTAATTTTATTTTTCGGACTACGACGATGTAAATTATTTCTCCGTCCTCGAGACGGTACTTGCATTCCTCTTAAGTAATATTGCCGATTCTGACTTTCTGATGGAGTTACAATAATTATTTGTTCAGTATGAGGATAGTATTTCTTCGAATGCCGGTGATGAAGATGCCTTGCACCATGACTGAACACAGGGCTTGTTTGCGAACTCGTTTTTCGTGAAAATCTAGGTTCGATAGACAATGACGGAATATTTTCGTTCTCATTGTCCGTTATATGAGAGTAACTAGGGTTCTGAGTATCGTCCTCTTCAACTACTTCGAGAGAATAATCATGATCCGGAAAATTGATGTCAGAGTCTTGCAAATCACTGTATTGGTCGAATTTTCCATTTTCGTCGGATATGACGTACTGGCGACGGACCGGTACCTCTCTATGTCGATCACGTTCACGTTCTTGAAAGTAATCATTTGTGTTGCATAAAGTGTTCCTTGTTTGACACTAATTTGGATATTAAAAGAAATTATTTATTTTACAGATCTTTTGTGATGAAATTATATTTGTTAATTCAATCACTCGTTTGTAAATTATCAAATTTAGAGAAATGTTATTTTGCACACCTCATAACGGAAAAAGTAAACTATAATAAATGATAGCCGATTTATAATAAGTAATGATCAACTGGAAAAAATTACCATTTCAAACAGTAAAATCGTGATTTTAACAATCACTATAATATTTATTTAGAAAAAACCCAACAGCCATCCGGCCAATAACACACAGAAAAAAAAGTCATCTTGACTCAAGAAAATCATTTTCTTCAAAATTTACTTCTTGTTTCAAGTTATTCTGCTATCTTAGTTGAAAAAATTTATTCTTGAACTAATAATGTCATATACTTATCCCAAGTAAATCTTTCTCTTAGTTTGAGAAAGTAGCGCCAACGTTGGCGACGTGATTTTTTGGAACTAAACCGAGATTTTTTTTAATAAAGAATTAAATTTTAAAAAATAACCTTATTCATGATTTTTATTTTTTGTATTCATTTAATTAGATATTTTTGATTAATTTTTAACGTGCTGATTTTCCATTATATTACTGCTTTACAGTTAAGTGTGTAGTGACAAAAATATATGTATATACAAGTATTTGCTCGACTCATACAAAGTACACGGTTAGAAATTTGTTGCGTTAATAACTCAATAACTATAAGTGATATCGACAATCAGAAAAAAGATCCTTAAAGAGGAGGAAATTTCTGAAAAAAAGTCTTGACTCTCGGAACTCTAGCTCCATAAACAATAATTTTTATTTAATGTTGAAAATGGGTTTCCGCGCGGCTGCTGTCCTAGTCGGGCCTCGATGCGCCCGTGTGTACATCAAGCAAGTTCAAAAACCAAGAGAATGATTTACTTGGATTAAGAGGTTTTTTTATTCACTTAAGTTGGTAAGCCTGTTGGAACTAGGGAATATTTGCTTAAACCAAGATTGACCAAAACAAGAAAAAAATTTACTTAACTCGAGAATATATTTTATCTTCAGTTGAATATACTTGGATCAAGTAAATATTAATTGACTCAAGATGACTTTTTTTTCTGTGCAGGGTCCCTTAAATCATGTACATAGTTTAACTAATTTATAATAATATAATATAAAAAGTTTGGAAAATCCAAATGAGCATGCCTTAAGCGCTCATGTTATACATAAATTATTTAGATCATAACAAAAATTATTCGTTTTTAATTTGAATTTTCCCGCGAGTAGTATTTCCCCTCTGCAGGCCGAGCTAAAGAAAAATTTTAACAGATAATAAAGCAGTTAGTAATTATACCATCATGTATGTATAGTTTCTGCTTGTTTATAGTTATTTCAATCCTGTTTTATGAAAAATAATATATATGGCTGCCGAAATCGCAGAAAAAGTCACCGAACTTACAACCGAAAACAATTAACTGTATCGAAACGGAATTATTTTGACACACAATTTTCACAAGGGTTTTGACAAACTTCCTCAGGAATAAAACAAAAAAAAATTAAATCGTGAAAGTGATTTTTGACAAAGTTGTGGTGTATCAAACCCAGTGCTACCGTGAATACCACGCTCTTATTCATTTAATTCATCAGAAAAACGATTTTTTTCTGAGAAATCTTATTTAATCGATAAGAAAATCGATAAGAAAATTTTTTTAACGTGTTCTGTAGTTATTGTTATTCATTTCAATATGCTTTTTATCCATAATTTTTTTCGTTTAAATTATGTAAATCACGTTTTAATCGAAATCACGATTTTTAGGCGAGAGTAGAGCATACCTGCGCGCTTCGCGCTAATAAGACATGCAATACATTTTACATTTATGGCGCTTACGTCTTAGTAATTATCGATCATTTAATCATTTAATAATTTAATATTTATCACTTAAATGCTATTATTTATTATTTACATGGGAGAAAATACAATTTCAAACAGTAATATTCGTTATGTAAAAGTCAAAAAAGTTAAAGTACAATAATTAAGAATTTTGACTTTGATACCCTGGCGGATCTGAAATACCGTAGAATTATGGTATTATATGGTAAAAATACGGTCGATATACTGTATGGCCACCGTAGATTACAGTAGCATTCTACTTGCACGGTAGAAACCGTAAAACACCGTAACATGCAGTAAAGAACGGTGAAAATACGGTATAGAACGGTAAAATTACGGTAGCGTACGGTCAAAATACGGTAAAATATATACTTCTGAACTTGCCGCACTACCGTATTCTAATTCACGGAAAAAATTAAACTGTAATAAATAACAATCGATTTATAATAAGTAATGATCAACTGCTAAAAATTACCATTTCAAACAGTAAAATCGTGATTTTACTATTCACATTGTAATATTTACAATTTAAACGTTACAATTTACTCTTTACATGGAAGAAAATACTATTTCAAACAGTAATAATATTCGCTATGTAAATGTCTAAAATGTTAAAGTATAATAATTAAGAATTCAGACTTAAATATTTATCATTTTGTACCTCAAAAATGATGTTATGATATATAAAAAGTATAAATAAAGTTAGTAGGGGAGGGGGGGGGGGCAAAATGGGGTACTTAAGCAATCGTTATGATTTTAAGGACTTGAATACGCTGATTTTTCTCGTTTTCAGTCGTAATTAAAGGAAAATAATCAAATTTCAAGTTGCCGTCGAAAAAAAATTTTTTTTTTTGCGGGCAAAATGGGGTACTCCCTGAAAGAGTGAAAAAAAAAATTTCTTCATCCGAAAATAAAATATCGTTAAAAAATTTTCTTATCGATAAGTCTACGAAAGAACCCAAAAAGAGGAACAAATCACCCAAAAAAGAGACATTGTTAATTGAAGCAATATATTCCTAACAAAAATTGAAGTAGTAAAAAAAATTTTAAAACTTTGTCGTAATTTTTAACGGGTTTCTTTTGAGAAAATTCTAATACTTGGAAGTTGAATAA